TTTTGCCAGATGTTTAAGTAATTCATGTAATTTTACTTCAAAGAATTTGATAAAACAAAACTCTATTTTTTAAAAGATATTATTCAAACAACTTCTCATGAAACTAAGTATTTTATTTTCGTATAAAAATCTTTTAGCAGTAAACAAGCCATCACAGTCTTTGTTTTTACGTGTAAAACTTTGTAAACATACAGTAAAGCTACTTACACAGGCGTATGCCTAAATTACAGAACTATCAGCAGGTGTTCCTATGGAATTTATTTCTATTCGCTCTACTGAATAAGCTAGTAGGGATTTTTTTCCGCAATTTATTTAATTTTTTGTTCTAATCATCTCAAACGCGATAACTACCCGCTACTTATCTATTTCTAAAAATAATAATAATATTTAAACTATATATTTTTTATATGTGAAAAATGCCATTTATTTAATTTCACATTACCACCTTGCGTTTAAACCGTTCAATACTGATAGGATCCAGACACACTACATGGTCCTGAATATTTTGTTGTTGTTAAAACACTCATTGTAAAGAACTGGTGAAACAAAACTGGGCGAACTCTCCCATTTTCTGTATAAACTACACAAAATAATTCACCCCACCCCAACCCAGTGGCTCAGCGGTAAGGCAGAACGTTTATAACGCTAAAAACCGGCTTTTGATACCCGTGGTGGGCATGGCACAGAGAGCCCATTGTGTAGCTTTGTGCTTAACAATAAACAACAAGAACAAAAAATGGAGGACACTCCAGCAGTAATTAATGGGATTAAATACAATACTGGTGGTATTTCTATTTACTTTTTGTTTACGAGTTTGTGTCTAACAAATTCAAGGACTCATAAGCAGTTTAATGCAAAAAAAAAAATAGGAAGCACGTGTTTAAAAAAACTATGAATGAGGACATTTTCGTTAGTTCTAGGACTAAATCTAAACTAGCGCTATAAGTTTCGACAAGACGGATACACTAAAAAATAAAAAACTGCGTATGTTTGATAAGTTGTTGTTAAAAACAAAAATAACTATAGTCAGTTAAAATAGTAGTGTAATGTCCTAACATTCAGAATATCCTGATTACAAGTCTATTATAAGTGGTATTATCAGTTTTACGTGATGCAATGAGTCACCCGCAGTTATCTGGATACTCGTCATAAAATAACCAGAAATAAAAATGGGGAGAGCAGTGATATAAAACCAACGCCTTACATTTACTGCAATATATTATTCAGCTTACAAATAAATTAATTCGTTAAATAATATGAAATAAAACATCGATTTTCATAATATATAGATAAATAAACACGATATTAGTCAAATATAAATATCAAAACGTAACTAATATTAATCGTGAAAATCTATTGACGAAACAGGTTTTAACTGACATTGAAAACATTTCATTTGACATTTTATTGGAAGGTTATATATATATATATTAACGCATTATTCAGTCCACAGTTAAATGTGAAACTCCTTAATTGAAACAGTTTTTTTATTTAGTTTTGAAGACAGAAACATTTTTTTAGTTCAGCCAGAGTGTTTGAAATATAACAACAAAAAGTAAGATTACGCCTGGCATGGCCTAGTGGTTAGAGAATTCGATTGTAATTTGCGGTTCGCAAATTCAAATCCCACCACTGAATATCCTCGTCCTTTCAGTCGTGGAAGCGTTATAATGTGACGGTCAATCTCACTATTCGTTGGTAAAAGAGTAGCCAAGAGTTGGCTGAGGGTGATGTTGACTAGCTGCCTTCCCTCTTGTCTATCTCTTCTAAATTAGGGACGGCTAGCATAGATAGCCCTCGAGTAGATTTGCGCGAAATTTAATAAACAAGGAAACAAAATCTCCACAAAATTGTTTTATGAATTCTATTCCTTCGTAATTCAAAGAAATCTCCCAAACCAACTACCAAATATAATATATATATATATCTCTCTTTCAACGAGAAGACCTGCCAAAGGTCAGATATGCTTTTGTTTTTGTTTGGGTAAAACTGTCAGTCAAAATGCTTAGAAGAGAAATTAGTTTTCTTTCCATTTGTGGAGTTTTTTATGTGTTTCTTGAAAAATACGCCAGTTAGTTAATTTATTAAGCTATATCTTATTGATTGATTTAATTGGTAGTGTTTTCGTTTTATCCAGTTCTATTGAAATCTATACAAATTAGCAGACAATCGTTTTTATTGTTTTGTTTTATAATGAAGTGAAATATTATTTATGCTGTTGTATTTATATTTTTGACTCGCTTTGTGAAAATTAATTAACTTCGTTTTCATCAACGTCCTTTATGCGATTTAATCAAATGAAAAATAAATAGATAAATGAGGAGTGAGTGGTTATTTTTGCGCTTAAACTCGGATGACAGTGAATTCTTCCTATAAAAATCAGTCATGTATTATTATCGTACCACGTGCACTTTATAGCCCATCTCTATCAAAGTGTCACGCATCTCTGCCACTGTAAGGGATCACAGCC